CGGTACCTGCTTAGCTGGGAATAGCCTAGGAGGCTAGGATGTGCAAGGGGTAACATTTTTGCTCTGAATAAACATTGATGTTTTATTTTGAAATTGATTAATGATAATTTGAAATCAAGATCACAGTTTTTAGAGCATGCTCTCAAAATTTCAGAGCTCTGCAGCTATTCTGACAGTTTTATCTACTAGTCCAGAAATGCATTGTAGTCATGCAGTTTACATTCAGTTCAGTCATGAGCAAGTGAGGAATGCTGATCCTGGACTGCAGACTGCTGCCAAGACTGAGACATGAGATGAGATGAGACATGAGACAAGACATGAGACAAGACACGAGAGGGGACATGAGAGGAGACGAGGCATGAGACAAGATACGAGACAAGATATGAGACTGAGACATAGGATGCTGATGAGACTTGAGACTGAGACAAGAGTTGAGACATGAGACAAGACATGAGATGAGACACGAGACGAGACAAGACATGAGATGAGACAAGGCATGAGATGAGATGAGACAGACATGAGACGAGACATGGAAAGAGACATGACATGAGGTGAGATGTGACATGATCAGTATTTAGTAATAATATTATTAATATCAAATATTCACCAATATTTATTATAATTAGTTGAGAAACAATACTAATAAAAATTAATAATATTATTATTACTATTAAATTTTATTTGTATATTCTATTCAATTTCATATTTTTTAAGCTCAATTATGGTGCCAAAACCATGAAACTGAAATTTATTGCATCCAATTCTGCCTGCAAGTTTAGTTATAGCATTAATATCTATCTGTTGCACCCGTTTCCCTCACCCACCTGCAGTCAAAGTCTCAACCAAAATGTTTTTTTCTAATTAGAATAGATAGCCTACAACAAGAGCTTTCTAATGGTGCATGAATATTTGAAACTGGCTCATAGGAAGCCTACAAATGATAGTTTTTCCAAAAAAAGTGACAGAAGTTGGTCCATTTTTGGGGTAAAATTGAAAAAGGAAAAATTTCATAGCTTATTCACTTTTGACCTACTATGCTCATTTTCTAAATTTTTTTCTCCTTTCAGTGGTGTAATTTTCATTACGATCAAAGGAAACTTTTTTGCGCACATACCTACATGATTTGGAATAGCTGGCTTCACCAATACCATGAGTATATATACATGATAATGCAAAGGGTCCATTGGAGGGATAGTGGCAAACTGGCAAAGCAGAGTGTTTTTAGACTCTCCTTCAAGTTTAACTTTAATTCCCATAAGCAGACAAGCAAAGTATCATGGATACCTGCATCAAATACATAAGACATTGGTTTCTGAGTAAATGAGAAAATTGAAAATGAACTGATTCTAAAAAATCCACATTTAGCACTATCAGGCATGGAATATATCTACTTGTCAAGCCGCGACTGAGTTTTTTGAGCCGTTGCTCAATGGATTTGCCAGCTGTGATTCAATTTTTTTACTGTGATTTCCATATCTTGGCCATGAAAAGCCATATATGAGGTGCGAATTTATTTACAAAGTCCATGCACGTGTTATCCCAAATCTCTAATTTTACCCTAAAACAGTCAAACGGCAACAATAACATTTGTCTTTACTGTCAGCTGAACACGTGTTAATGCAGTCTGACGGCTTTAATGTGACCGCAACTATGCACCATCTTCAATGAAACATTTAGGTTGACTTGTTTACATTACAATGATTACATTCTGCAGGGTATTTTGGTGAGAACTGTAAAACAATGCAGATTGCAGAAGTTGACAATTTTGTGAAATGACATGTTTGCTAAGTTTGATCCGTGATTTTTTCAACCAAACAAAATTTTATGACATTTGAGTCACAAGATTTCATCCCCACTGAAATTATATGATATTAGAGCTGCAATATCTCAGAAAAAATATGACTTTTCCAGCCCCATTCTTGGTGCCTCCACTCCAATTGTAGTGTCCTAATGACAAAGCTGACAGCCCTGTATCGTTCACTTGTCAATTGTCATCACTCAGCAGTCTAACAACCCTAACTGGGCCACATGTACTGACCACATGTACTGACCCTCGATTGGCGCTGCTCCTGCTGCACAGGACTGGAATTTTCCTACTTGTTTCTGAAATCTGGTAGCTCCAATGTGACAAATTTTTAATACATTCAGAATCTTGCGGCCTGATCTTGCAATATCGTTGACAATTAGATAGGAAGTAATTCATCTGGCGGAAATCTGGAAGTTCTGGAAATGGCGGGAAAGCTTTAGTTGTGGCCCTTAATGTAGATGTTTTCCATGCTTGCTTCTGCGCTCACCACATAGTGGTATTATGAAGTGATTTTAATGTTACTGGTCCTGCTAATCCATAGACTTATTTGGACCCGCAACTATGAAAGACAACTGGTATTACAATAGATAAAAGGCTGAAAGCCCATGCTGGGATACATGAGAATGAGTTAGTGGATCAAGCAGCAAAGTTGGGACATAAACTCGATCATATAGCATATATCATGCTGCTGAGTATTCTGATGCTCTCCGCTGCCTCTGCCACCAGTCTTTGTCTCAGTGGGAAAGAGACTGGATACACAATGCTAATGAGGTTGGAAAAGGAAGACACTCTTGCTGGTCCATAGAAGCCTGCAGCCGGTACCATGGCTGCATGCAAAATCTTGTAAACTCATATTGTTGCTGGGTCTAAAATGTCTCGTACCCCAGGTGAGATAAACCTGTTATCTACTTTTTTGACTAGATAGCAACAACCCTAATCTGAATAAAGGAAAATGAAAGACTGGTTCTAATAAATTGAACTAAAATATGGGACAGTAAATAAACACATAACTTGATAAAGTTGCAAATGAAATGGTTGTTTTAATTTGTAATGTGTAGTGAAATTGAGCTACTTAGTTGCATATAAGGAGCATGGACAGGTGGAGATGAGTAGATTTAACTGTGAACAGAAAGAACAGAATAAAAATGCAAATCATGAATGACTGATAACCTGATGGGATGTAGAATGTAAACAAAGCAAGAACCATTAAACTCCATAAAACTAGTAAAAGCTCATCTCCATATTGTGAATTTATCTTCAAAACTAATAAGTACTCAACGAGGATTGAATTGAAAGGAATCGCAAGAGAACAGATAAATAAAGGAACACTGCAAGATGAATTGTGAACATAACTAGCTGGAATTAATTATAATCATAATCCAATATAATAAATTAACTTCTTCAAACTAAACCATATCTGGTCAGAGATGAACACAACCAAAATAAAATGCAAGGAATCACAAGAAGTTAATATCAATGAAATTAGCAAAATAGCAAGGACAAAACTTAACCTAAATTATCAATGAATAAATGATATAAATTTCTATGCCACTTGCCAGTGCAACTGAGTGCCCAGGCTGAGATACTGAGTAGGAATTCAAATACTTAAGAGTGATAATTCAAGTTTGCAAATTATACTTTGGTCATCTACACTGAAAAAGATAAAAATATTGAATTTAATTTAAATTGAGTTGGATTGAGAACTGAAGAAATGTCATAAATAGTAAAGAAAGACATGAAGGTTGGGCTACACAGTAGCCTAATTCTACCTCCGGTAACAATATAGCATCCAGTGTATTGGCCCGCTTTCATTTTGGACGTGCTGGGGTAAATACCTACCTGCACCAATTTTCAATTATTGACTTGACTGTGCAACATTTGCAATGTTGATGAAACCATTGACCACTTTCTACTTGAATGCACCCAATATAATAATGCTCGCCAACTTATGAGAAGGACTTTGTGGAATATTGGCATGCAGACTGATGGTGCAAACCTTGCTGGGAGGGAGCGACCTCACAAAACAGGAGCAGCACCTCGTGATCAAGACCATAATCACCTTTATCACAAATACTGGCCAAATAGGGACTTTGGGAAGCTAAAGCCCTGGTAAGTTGACTGCACTTGAAATGATAGAAATCGGCAATGACTGAGCAAACTTGAAAAGAAGCTTTAAAATTGCCGTGTCCAGGTGTGACAACCCCTGAATACCCCTGATTGGGGTATTTTATGACACCTGAAAAGAGACATTGATCATCATCTTGACAATTTATCATTCATCTGCATGCCATCATTCAAACATCATCAAACAACATGACAAGTTATCATTCATCATGAGTCATGACACCAAATTTTTACTTGTGATTGTGGTACTAACACAGTCTGTTCCCACAAAATATTTTCCATTAGGTACCAATTATTCATCTATTTGTTCAATCAATGAAATTAATGGCAAAAAATTTTCACTACGCACCAAACTTTTTTATGGTATGTTCATCATAGCAGCCTTATAAAGAATTTTCTACTCAAGGCCCAGCTGTTGAAGGTCAGAAGCTAGTATTTACATTTTAGCAAAATTGCTCTTCCAATCATAATNCTAGATGTGTATAAGAGACAGGTATTGCACTGCTTCACTCAACTAGTCAGACTGTCAATGAATGTGATTTTACACTAATCTGAATTTATCTGGCTGTCGCTCAAGTAATCACACACTGGGACAATAGAAAGAGAGGATTAATACAAGACACTTATAACAATTACTAAATAGTTTATATACCAGCATGTGGCCCCTAACAATGTAACAAAATTACAAATGCAATACAAGTGTGTAAAGCAGTGCTGTTTGTCATACAAAATTATTGGTATGACCTTACAGCATTAGCTTAATGGCAAGTTATATGTCATTGACAGTTGAATTTTAGGAAACAATTTATTCATTGCAACTTATTTAATTTTGCATTGCTTACAGATATTCTTTCTACTTGGTTTAAGTTGGTTATTGCTGGATATTTTATTGCTTCCAGGGTGTCTCAGGAAACCTCAAACTTATACCCCCTCATTAATCTCATGGCATACAGTATAAAAGAGTGCAGAGTTGTTCTGCACCAGCTCTCAGATGCTGCAGTCAGGAGTGGCTGGTGCCCTGAGCAGAGCCTCATTCAAGCAGCAACTGACGTGTGCAAACTCGAGCCTGAAGGTATGCTTCACAACTAGTGCCTGCAAGTCTATTTTATTTGTCAATTGAGAAGATGTTATACTTCATTGAAGTTCATGATTTTATTGCTCATATCATTGTTGAACCAAATCTTTTGGCAGTTTGGAAAGTAAGTTGGTAATGACAACTTGCAACTGTCACATTCTAAGGAAAATTACATTCATATCATTAACCTTTTTGTGGGCAAGCATGAAAATATGAATACTATTTTCATCTTTTGAAAATGTTAAAAAATCACCCATCAGGCAATGTCAGGTTGAATCAATGTTGAATCAGCATACTCTGAATGTTGAAATAATGTCAAATGTTAATCCAGAATAAAAGTTAATCAACATCATTTTTCAATGTCACACATTTTGATTTTGTTTCAATGTTGAAATCTAGTTGAATTCCGGCATTAAAAAGCACTTAGAACAGTATTGTGTCAGATTAACATATTCCATCATGAATGTCACAGTATTCAGGCACAGTATTTATGTAACAATAAAAAAATGATGTTGATTCACTTTTCATTCTGAACTAATAATCAATTTAATTTCAATGTCCCAAAGTGCGTTGTTTCAACATTGATTCAGCCTGACATTGCCACAAACTGGAGGCTGTGGTGGGACCTTTTAGGAGGCAAATTCAAGTGAGCATAAATGAGTAACTTGCCTGCTAATGAGTTGAGGAGGCAGTAGAGATGGCTTGACTCCAGTATTATGTTGATATTCTTAGCTGCAAGTATCATCATGCTAATAATAATTGCTGTATATTACATACAGTAATGGAGGGCAGCACCCCCAGCTCATCCTTACCCTCCATCATGACCGTTTACATCAAAGAGGAGCCTGAAGATGAGGGAGAGGACATAACTGTGAAGGATGAACCACTTTGCAGTGAAGAATATGAGGTGATCTTTTTAACAAGATCCGTTAGCTTGTACTTTAATTCAATCCTGCATGGATGTGCTAAATTATTAACTCAATCAGAATTTAAATGTATCATATTTTTAGAGTAAGCAAAAAAGCTTATGAACAATCTTATAAGGAATTTTTAACCTAGGTAACTTAATTCATGAATTGCTTTTCAATGTAATTAAATTGAGGTATTTGATTCACATTGTGTTATTCTGTCTTCTTGAATTGAATATTTTTATATATTATCTTTGGTATAATCCTATTTGAGTTAGACCGAATCCATGCATGGTAACTAATGTTCCTGCTCATGATGTGTTGACCAGCAAACTCCACTTCCCTCATCTTGCAAGCCGTGCAAGAAAGAGTTTCAAGTTGAGGCTCACGAGGCCTGCACCAGCACCTCACAGTACACTGCTGCCGTGCCTCATAAGCAGGTTGGTAGAGCTGGTTTCTGGGTACAAATGAACTGCTGAGGAATTGAAATGTTGATGATCTGTCTGCATTGGCTGTACTGTGAACATCTCATCTCTTTTCAGCTCCTATTTTTGATACATTTCTCATTTGTAGAGCAATTTACATTTTTAATTTTTATTTCCTCCCATCCAAAGTTCTTGACTCATTTTCTGATAGAATATATGCCTGTTGAATCTTAAGTCTGTCGCAAATATTCTATCAAAGTCTAAAAATTATTAAGACTTCTGCATCAATAAGTCTACCCAGCTATGCATGTTGCAGTGACATTCCCTTCACGTGTATCTTATTTCTTTCTGTTTTGTTCTTCTGGGTTTTGATATTGGGTTGAATTTCTATTGAAAATTTAGATGGATGCACATTTTTATGAAAATGTTGTTTAGTGCATTTTGTCTGAGTTCTTCTTTTTTCACAAAAATATCTATATATAANCTAAGCACGGGCTGGGTAAAGGATTTTAATGCAAGCAGTGTGATTATGCCAACTGTAGAAAAGATGCTTTTGGTAGCCACATGTTTTCTAAACATGGATTAGGGAAAGGATACCCATGTGAATTTTGTGATTATGTTGCTGGTAAGAAATGGTCTCTAACAAAGCACCTACAATCCAAACATGTTCTGGATTATGAAAAATCTATTAGTAAAAATAGTACTACTATGTCTGCTGACAATCCAATCTAAGCGTTGTTGAGGGTGTTTGGTGGTAAAATTAAGTTGTTTGTATAGGTTGCAGCTGGTAAATGTCAGATGAAATGTGTACAGATTTATGGCAGTTGTTTGGTGGAAGTATTCCATATTGTGTTTTATTATGACACAATCAAATTTGAATGAGACTCCCTAACCATGCACCTTCCATGTCAAGGAATCTACAAGGTTTTGATGCTGTGTAATCTGGCCGGTCTTCTCATTTGGGGCTCCGATTGCATGTAAACTTCATCTGATTGGTAATGCTGTTAGTAATGCATATGAATTTTATTGCTAATATAGTTGACCAATTATTATTTTAGATTGAGTAGATAAATGAGCGTTGGCCAAAGGGCCTTTCCAGTGATAAGTTTGTTAGTAGCAGTGAGAGTGGCTTTAATCTTGAGGCTACTTAGTTCAATTTGCTAGATTAAAAATAATGTTCTCCAGCTGAAATGGCATCAACCATATCAGCAACCAAAATAATGTTCCATTGGCCGCAGATATGGCATCAACCTCTGCTCGCAAGGGTTGAGAAATTCATTAACACTTATTGAAAGGAGAAGTCTATTTGCTGCAGTTATTATTCCATTATTTTCTTGACAGGATAAGTTTATTCAAAGCTTTTAAGGCTGTGCTTATTTTCTTACATTGTATCCATGAACCCCATCATGTTTGAGCAGGAAGCTCCAATGACAATTTGTACTGCTCGGTAGCTTTGAGGTTCTTCCTTGAGCAATGCTATCTTTCTCAATGATTGTATTACATTTTATGACAGTTATGCAGCTGCATTGATTGCTATCAGCAGATTGTATTTTTTTACATGAATATGAAACGTAGAGTCACACTCCAGTCACAGGAATGAATGTGAGGGAATGTCATCTTAACTATAGAAAGATAAGTTAACATAATATAGATAACCACTCTTCTCCATGTGCTGGCTTGTCTTAGCAAATGGCAAGCACTTCATTGGTCCAACTTCTGCAAGTTCTTTCCTGATGCTAACCATTTTTTGTTGAATATAATTTGCAGCGCCTGCAGTAATGCTCTTCCAAAATATGAGCTTTGGCTCTGAATTCATAAAATTTGCTATCTTTTCATTTTGGATGTTGCTTCATGAGTCGCATTACCTATTGACATCTTGATTATGATTGAACTTAAATTATTATTAATATGAATGTTGTAAGTAGTTACTTAGATTGTTTAGTAGAGAATAATGCTATTATAATGTAGAAATATTGCTACAACTCTCTTAAGCTTCTTTATTGCTAAAAGAAATAAAGAACCAACAAGATGTGTTATTGTGTTATTTTTTACTGGTTGCACCCTTACCAACTTTACTAGTCTCAGGTTAATTACTACCTATTCTTTTAATTACTTCTGTAAGTTCATGACTCATCAGTCAGCCATGCCATATAATCACAAGACTCATGACTCACCCATGCAATATAATCACAAGACTCATGACTCAGTCATGCTATATAATCACAAGACTCATGACTCAGCCATGCCATATAATCACAAGACTCATGACTCAGCCATGCCATATAATCACAAGACTCATGACTCAGCCATGCCATATAATAACAAGACTCGTGACTCAGCCATGCCATATAATCACAAGACTCATGACTCAGCCATGCTATATAATCACAAGATTCATGACTCAGCCATGCCGTATAATCACAAGACTCATGACTCAGCCATGCATGCCATAGGCCAGCCGTCCAGAGCTTGGTGGGGTTAGCAATCAGGCGTTATTTTTCATTTTCCTTTAAGAATTTAGCCGGTGTGCAGAACTGAACTTGAGATAAGAATATGTATGGAAAAATTGAATATATATGGTAACGTTAAATATTAAATGATGAAAATTGTCAGTAATAGAAAAGCAAAATCTGTCGCCCATCCTCATTACACTATTAATTGAATAATTAGTTGATAGTTAAAGACAGTAAAGTTTTGAAGGGAAGTGAGATGAAATTGTGAATCCCATTGTTTATCATACCAGCAGGCTCTGTGATGGGCACCCAGAGCATTAATGTGAACATCATTTGGCTCATTACCAAGAAATATCAGAGCCTACTGCAGTAATTCCTTGAAGTAATCTCAAGTGAAGCAACATCAGTGGTGGTGATGTTGGCTGATCTCTTTATTTTTATTGTCTCTATAGTATGACTTCCCAAGGCAGGGTTGAGCTCATCTTCTGTACTGTTCTTAGTACTGCTGTCAGAGATGAGACCCTTCTTAATAATTCCATGCATGGCTGCTTCTGACTTCTGCTTAACTTCATATTTTCTTTTCCTGCCTTCTGGTCTCTCTCATCTTTTCAATGTCATCTTTTTTCTGCACCATGAAGCACCATATCAATTCCACCTGAACTTCCACATTTTCCTTTCTTTGTGCAAGGAAGGAATTTTGGTCATCTGGAATCTTGATCAAATTTAAGGCATCTGCATGCTCAACATCAAAGTTTTAATGCATCTGCAGGCTCAACATCAGCAAGTTTTGAGCTAAATTAATTCTCTTTCAGCTGTTGCGTTTGGCTCATCTACTGGCTGCTTTTTTAAGACCCTGCCATTGCTTGTGCTGCTCTTTTATCTTCTTTATGATATGCTACAGTTGTCTAGTGGAAAATCTTGCTTTTGCTCAAACAGTTATTAATTATTGAACAGTAGTGGCAGCACTTTCTTGAATAGTTCTCTTGTCTAGTGTGTGTAGGCAAAAAAATTTGCTCAGAACCTGCCAATTTGATGGTAGCTTGGACCCTGTGATATTTTCAGATGTGCCTCCACTCAGCCAAGTGCCACAAGTGTGTGTGATAGCACTAGTGGATGGAATTGAGTTCTCCTTTGCGCAGCTATCTTTAGTCACCTGTGTGGAACAAAGATGGGATCAGTTAATAAATGCTAAAACTGGCACAAAGACATCAATGGTCACTTATTTTTTCGAAGTCAGTTCTTAATATAATGGTATTCTATAATATATTTTGCTGATATGCTGTACTCTAACACGAAACAAGGAATATGCTATTGTTTCTTTTGTTCCTTCAATAAAAATTATGAGCAAGATAGAAAGAACGAAGCATTGTAGCCTCACCAGTAGTCTTTTGGAGGTTTGTACTGCGCAATGTAACGATATAATTTCTGGTCAAACAAATAGTTTAGAAGACAATAAACTTTAACAAAGCATTGCCAGCAAAGAATAGGTATGTAATTCAACTGTTAACTTCTTGTAAATGAGTAAAAATTTTCACATGTGCATTATTCCACATTAAAATCAAAAATTGTCATAAAATACCAACTGGGCATTATAAAGTATAAACAGGCAGGTAGGTAAATAAATTTCTTGTTCAACCAGTAAATATTGAAATGTCTCATTCAAAATTTGTTGGCTTAAGATTTAGGTCAAAATGAAAACTTTTAGGTGGTGAGAGCATGGAAGATTTGGATTTTTACCATTAATTTGGTAATCATCCTAATGTGTATGTTTCAAATTAAGGAGAAAGATCACTTGAAATATGATTCATCCTTCTGGATAGTCATGGTGAAAATTTCAATTTTATACAAATCAATAGAGCTCTGTTGACCTTACTGCAGGCAAGTTACCATATATAGTTCCTCCAGAGCCCTTCATAGTTCCTCCTTGGCTGTGGGTTAGTCCAGGGTTACCTGGGCCTGGTCACTTCTCAGTTCCGCAATGGAGCCTGGCTTGTGTTTTAGGCTACCGGTATGTTATGCCTCTGCCCCATTATAGAAAATCAGGCAGAAGCCACCCGTGAATGAGGCAAAAACTCCCATGCTTGCAGGCAATTTAACCATTTTCATTGACTTTGCCTTATAATAATAATAGCGCTTTCAGTGTTTATTAGGTCGGAGGCTTGTCGCCGATTCTAGACATCGCAGAACATTCACAGCTTGTTGCGGTCTCGAACTCTCATTTCACTGCCTGAATTTTGCTTTGCTTAACCGACCGGACTCCTCACCGATTCTGACCAGAAACTGACGCACAGAGCTGGGATCGAACCCGCGCCTCTCTGCGCCAATCTTTTCACTCTGAACTGTAACCACTGGGCCGCCCTGCGCATTTTGGGCAAAGAGATGCGGCTGTCAGCCGCGGTAGTCGCATGTATGGCGTTTCTTAATTATGCATACGACTAATAATTCCCTTCCTAAATAAGATATAAGGAATGCTGTTCTGGCTAAATATTTTCAATTCATAGACATTAAGATAAATTATGTAAACTTTGTATCACGACTGTTATCGTGAACCAAAATTTTGTC